AGACAAGGCTGTTGAGTCAGGCAATAAGCGTTATTGATAATGGAAGCAAAGTGAAGAGAAATGATAGGTTAAAGGGATCAAGTAGGCTTTTAGAAGCTGCCAAAAAAAAATGATGTAGAGGATGAGGGACTCCGCCCTGTAAACACAAAGGAGGGGAAGTAAGCGGAGCTCAAATAAAGACCAAGATGCAGAGACTGGAAATCAGCTTACAACAAGCCTAACTGAATCCAAGGAGTAAAGGAGGAAGGAAAGTGATTCCGGGGCGTGGCTGGGAGGTGGGCTAAGAAGAGAAGGGGCAGGAAGACTGGAGGGAATGATGAGCTTCAAGAAGGTCAAGTGCAAACGGATAACTGAGCTCAAAATCAGCCAGACTGAGCCAATGTTTTTAGCAGTTAGACATCACCAAAGAAAGGTGGTAAGGATTGAATCCAGTGGCTGCACGAGGTGGCACGCTCTCTAATGAGGACATTAATAAGGTTAATGAGAGCCACAGGGAGCTCCCTCCCTTTCTCTTCCTTAGAAAAGAAAAAGGTAACTGCTTGCCATGGCTGAAGACAGAGACAAGACTGATCTCACAGAGTGGCTTCACACTTGATTAAAGATAGTATACCGTGGAAGAATAAAAAGGAGAGAAGGGAGGCAAAGGAGGAGGAGAAACCAGAGATCTCCAACACCCCCCAACTCACCCCATCCTCATCCTCCCCAGCCTCCCTCTGCCCCCCCCCCAACTACACAAGGACTCACAGAGGGGAAGCAGCTACCTGTACACCAAAGTTTGACTCTGTGAAACCTTGAACAGGGTCTTCCAGTCTCCAAAACTGTCTCCATCTTCCTAAGGCACTTTGTTATGGCGTCCCTGGTTGACCATGACATTCACTCAGGAAATTTTCACCCCAAAGTCTCTGAGAAAGAAACAAGCAAATAGCCCATTTTACTTGATTTGCTGCTATTTGGAAAGGAGAGAATCAGGGTATCTGAAGAAAGACTAGCAGAATGGTGGGAAGCAAAAAGAGATTGCTCAAGTCTGCTGTAACCACGCAGAGCATCCTAGTACCAGGTAAATGGCACAGCCATCTTGCCACTCAGCCTCCCATGAACGTGAGTATCCAGGCTTCGCCTAGATCAGAAAATAGAAAGTCTTGACTGTTTTTCTGTTGTTGTTGTTGTTGTTTTTCCTTTTTCTTTTCCAGAGCTGAGGACTGAACCCAGGGCCTTGAGCTTGCTAGGCAAGCGCTCTACCACTGAGCTAAACCCCCAACTCCCAGAAAGTCTTAATTATTTATGGAGGCACATGAAGATCTAGAAATGTGTTGCATGGACAAGGCACATCATTTCCAGAGAATGTCAGGGTGTCTGGAGAAGTTTGTCTCCTTAAGTTTCAATAAGAAGGCTCAGCCAGGCCATCTAAATTAGGAAAAATGATAAGCCAAGGGTGGGGAAGAAATCAAACCATACTTGTGTAAAGACAGGGCAGGTCCAAGGCCTTGAGCTGTATACTAAAGGAAGGCATCCAGTCTTTCTCCCTGAAGGTTTTGGTGTCTTTGGGTGACAATCTGTTCTCAACACAAAGACAAGGAGGATAGGGCTAGACTGTGGCCTGTTGAGTAAACACGTGTTCTTACAGGATGAAATTGCAGCCATAGATCTCATTTAATTGATATTAGATTTTATTGTAGAATACTAAAATTTTAATGTGTCTATAAATCTGTTTCATGCTTGTGGAGGAATGTCTGTATTAAGAACATGGTGTACAAGAATAAAGGCAAGAGAAGAAAGAAATGAGCCTACAATATACATTATTAATATTTTAGCAGACAAGAAAAATTGGGACCTCATAGAGGAAATTAGAAAAAACTGAAACTGGGTGTTCTCATTTGGTTAAAGATGAGACATCCTAACCTCACAGGGTCAACCTTTTTGATGAAGGAAATAAAAACCAACGAATAGATAGTGGAAATGAGTTTGTAAGACTTGGATCCGCTTATGAGCAGTCACTGGCCATAAGCATGGTGTGTTTTCAGCCGGAACAAGGTCAGACAGCAATGTGTCCTGTCCACTAAGCCAGAGCTGTGGACTCTTGGCAGGATGCAGAGGCGATGGCTCATCTGAGGCTCACGACAGCCTACCGTGAATCCCACAGTACCACCGCCCTGGGTGATGGCTAGCAAGTTTCAGTAAAAGCTCATAGCTTCTGCTTTCTGGGCACAAAATGCAAAGCACTTGTGAGGTAGGGCTATGAAGGTGTCCTCGCAAAGTGCCCTTGATGTAACAATTAGTACTTATGGATCAGCCAGTCAAATAACAGCGTGGGATCAACTCCCATAGCTCTAAAATTAATGGCAAAGGAGGCGCACAGGTCCATGTCTGAGGAGACACAGCTGATGACCTGCTCTGGAGTAGCCCAAAGTCCACCAAGTCCCCCTGTGGAGGGGCAGCGGGAGCACAGACCCACCGGTGATGTTGACTCTCTCTTCCTTGGGGGCCATGTGCAAGTACAAATTCTGAAATGACATAACCTTATAGGAGTGAAGAATGATGTTCCTTCATGGTCTCCACCTCAATCTTTGATTTAATTCCTTTTCCTCCTGATGAAGTAAGAACACCCTCTTGTGGGAAATCCTTATGAAAAAATATTTTACTTTATTTTATTTGTGTGTGCGTATGTGTGTGTGAGAGAGAGGGGGAGAGAGACAGAGGAAGCAGTGGGTGTATTGGCTATGTATTGCTACGTACAGGCCATAGGACAAGTCTGCGGAGTTCCACTTTTATGTGGATTCCAGGTATCGAAGCTCAGGTAGCCAGGTGACTTGATTAGAGTTTTTATTACTGTGACAAAACATCATGTTCAGAAGCAACTTGGGGAGAAAGGGCTTATTAGAGCTTACATGTCCAAATTAGAGTTCAACATGAAGAGAAGTCAGGGCAGGAACTGAAGCAGAGACCACAGAGGAGTTGCTTCTGGCTTGCTTCCATGGCTTGCTCAGCCTGCTTTCTTCTCATATAACTCAGGATTACAGTTCAGGGTTATCACTGCCCCCTTTCATGGAATATGTCTATCTTCATCAATCACTAATTAAGAAAAATGCTTCACAGGATTACCCAGAAGTCAATCTGATAGGAACATTTTCTCAACTGAGGTTCCTTCTTCCCAAATAACTGTAGCCTGTGTCAAGCTTAAAAAAAACAAAACAAAACAAAAAAACACAAAACAACAACAACAAAACAACCAGTACAGCAAGCTTCCAAAGCATTTGCTTTTACCCCTTGAGCCACCTTGCTAAACCACACGTTTGGGATACTAATTTCTGTGGAGCTAGTTCACGTGACAGGGATTCTTATGGGGTGAGTGTGTGATGTTCCTGCAGAGGCTCATGATTTGAATCTTGGTCTCCAGATGGTGACACTATTTTGGGAGGCTATGGACACATAGCGGGTGGGAGCTGAGCTTGAGGAAGTAGGCCCGGGGGAAGAATTCCTGGGGGTGATTATCCCTGCTCACTTCCTGTCTCACGCTCTACTTCCTGTCTGCCTGGAGTAACAGCTCCCTTCTGAAACACCTTTCTGTCTTCCTTACCTTCTTCCCAAGATCCTGGGACCAAATAAACCTGAACTGAAGTCCCCGAACCCTGCATTAAAATCTCCTACCAAGTTGTTTTTGCCAAGAATTTTGTTGCAGCAATTAAAAAAAAAAAGAATCAATGGATACAGCCTGTCGTCAGCGTGAAAGCTCCCTTCACGTCTCTTTTCTGCAAGGAGCCATTCAGAATGGCACCTACAAGCTCTCTGTGTCCTGCACGGGAAATCCACAGGTGTTTATTCCTATGGTGCCTGTTTCCACCACCTTAATTCTGCCTTTCACTTACCTCACTCAGCCTGCGCACAGAAAGAGACAGACTTTCACCCCTGGCTGTTCATGCCCCGCAGCCACTACACCTACCTACCTCATGCCACCACACCTGGTGGGACACGCTGGTCCGCACAGTGTTAGGCTGTGCCATAAATCCCATCCCATGATGTTTTCTTGAGGTTGAATATATTTCAGAGTGTTTAAAGGCTGTTCAGTGTTCCCATTAAATCTTACACATCTGTGTTCCTTAGATTATTTTTATGTCAGTCAAGAGAGGAAAACCTCAAATTTATTTATATCAGTCCAAATGAACCCAACTCATTGTAAATACCTCATGGACTTAAGTTGCATATTGACAAAACAGTAGCACCTCCTAACACCTTAACTTTAGTTATCCCAGATCTGGAGAAGACGATTGGAAGGATCACAGCTCTGTTGACCCATTTTAGACCCCTGACCTCTGGGAAGAATTCTAAGAGAATATTTTTTGCTCTTGTGAGCTTATAATGATTTTTGTACATGCCCAGAGGACACTAGCTACCACAATATAGCTGAGGGTAGGTCTAGAGCAGAGCACAAAGAGGTGAGTCCCAGGCCTAAGCGTAGTACAAGGGCATTGCTGCCACATTTAATTGGCTAAAGCAATCACAAGGCCAACCTAGATCCAAAGAATGCAGACACACATCTCATCTCTTGTTCTTTTGGTTTTGCTTTGTTTGTTTGTTTTTTGTTTGTTTGGGTTTTTTTTTTTTTATTTTGTTTTGAGACAGAGTTTCTCTTTATCCCTGGCTGACCTGGATCTTGCTCTGTAGGCCAGGCTGGCCTCACACTCAGAGACCTGTTTGCCTCCGCCTCCTGAGTTCTGGGATTAAAGGTTGTGCCATCACTTCTCTGCATCACCTCACCTCTTGATGTATCGTTTCTCCCACTTCTTAGTGAGAGTTTCATTTGGAAAGAGTGGACTTCCACTGAGAAGGAGTGGACAGAGGGAGGGGTAATGATATATATCATTAGATATAAATGTATATCATTTATGTATATAAATCTTTAATACACACTATATTTATTATGTGTATTCACAGCTAGTCCGCCATCTGACTTCTAATTAATTTCTGAACTTGGTTTCTTTTCTATATCTAGGGACACCAGGAGTATGAAGCTCTGGATCTTGGGTACTAGTATCTTCCTAAGGATTTGGAGGACTTACGTGTTTCCAGGAAGCATTGGCTGGCTGGACTTCCTCCAACATTTGGGAATTTGTTGCTTTGTGGCTTTGCTTTCAGCGAGTTTCCTCTCAGCAGCCTTCTACTGGGTCCTGCCATCCGTCGCCGTGTTCTCTGTTGTCTGGATGGTCATCTGTGTTTTTCTGTGCTGTTCCAAACATGCACGATGCTTCATTCTTCTCACCTTTCTCTCTTGTGGCCTCCGTGAAGGTAGGAACACTTTGATTGCTGCTGGCACAGGGGTAGTGATCTTCGGACATGTGGAAAATATTTTTTATAACTTCAGATGTCTCCTAGACAGCATGACTTGCAACCTAAGGGCAAAAAGCCTTTCAATACACTTTCCGCTTTTAAAACGATATACTGAAGCCATCCAGTGGATTTCCGGCCTTGCCACTCCGCTGAATGTATTTGATGACCTTGTTTCTTGGAACCAGACTCTAGTGATCTCTCTTTTCAGTCCCAGCCATGCCCTGGAGGCTCATATGAATGACACTAAGGGAGAAGTCCTGGGTGTCCTGCACCATATGGTGGTTATGACAGAACTTCTGTCATCCCTGGGCCAGAAGCTGCTTGCCCTCACCGGGCTCCTGCTCATCCTCCTCAGCACTGGCCTCTTCATGAAGCGATTCCTGGGTCCTCATTGCCAGAAATATGAGAATGTCTATATCACCAAACAATTTGTTCAGTTTGATGAAAAGGAAAGGCACCAGCAGAGGCCCTGTGTCCTTCCGCTGAGTAAGAAGGAAAGGAAGAAATACATCATGATCCCGTCTTTGCAGCTGACTTCTAAAGAGAGAAAGAACCTAGGGCTGTTTTTCCTGCCTGTCCTGACCTATCTCTACATGTGGGTGCTGTTCGCAGCTGTGGATTATCTGCTGTATCGACTCATTTCCTCCGTTAACAAACAGTTCCAAAGTTTGCCCGGGCTGGAGGTTCACTTGAAACTGCTTGGGGAGGTAGGGCTCACAGGCACTTCCCATGCAATGGGGCTTCTTATTGGTAGGCCTTGAAAAAACGCTGGGACGTCAGGTGGTGTCTTCAGATCCTCACAGAAGGAGCCCAATAGGTATGGGCTAAATTAGGTTCCAATGTTAGAATATAATTCTGTGTTATTTTTCTGTGGCTACTTTAACTAATGAACGCAATCTGGGTGTCTTAAAACAGCGCACATTTATTCTCTTTCAGTTCTAAAGTGAGAAGTCTAAATCGGTATTGCTAGGCTGAAGTCCAAGCGCTGTTGGCACAGCATCCTCCTTTCCAAAATTAAGGGGAAATTCACTCTGCTTCATCTACTTTCACTTGGCCAGGAGCAGTCCTTGGCTTGTGGTGGTATCACACACGTCTCTGTGCGGTGAAAAGATCCATGTCCCTCTTTACCAGGCACATGGCCACGTTAGGGTGACCCCACAACGTCTCCATCTCTGGCCGTCTGACTTAACGTCCCAGCTAAAAGCTTTCTCCTAGAGAGAGCGTCACCAGCTCCAGGACTCAGGACTTACACTCAGCAAGCCTTGGCTTGTGGGAATAAGTTTGTGGCTGGGGTCAAACTTTGAGTTTAGTCTCAAGGGGGCATAAGAAGCAGGGCTTGTAGCTTGACTTCCTTCCACTGTCAAGACTTGAGCAGACAGGTTTCAAACTCTTCTGTCTCAGAAGTTGCTTTTGTAGCCTGAGCTCTTATCAACCTAACAGGGTTTCTACCTCAGTAGCGGGATGTCGCGGAACCCGTTAAAATGCGCACACACACCTTAGCCGGTTTTTAAAACACAACTTCGGTCAATGATTACCACTGTGTGTGTGTGTGTGTGTGTGTGTGTGTGTGTGTGTGTTTGTGTGTGTGTGTGTGTGTGTGTGTGTAGAACTTCTATCAGTAGACAGTTTCAGGTCTCATTTGATAGTGCTTTGTTTTGAATGGGAGAGTATTTTCATAAACACTCCTTGTGATTGCCAAGTAGGTGAGCCGCAGTCTAGACACTCTGGCTTAGGGTCTAAAAGCAAGACCTTCTAAGCCTGGAGTGGAGGGCAGCATCATGGTGGCTTAGGGTCTGAAAGCAAGACCTTCTAAGCCTGGCACGGAGGGCGGTGTCATGGTGGAACTGAAGAGACAGGGAAGTGAATACTTCTCTTTAGAATCTTCAAAGAATACACTTTACTTGAATTCGATGGTTTTTTTCCAGCCCCATTTCAAGTAATGCCACTGTGCAGCCAAGACTCAGAACCCCTTTCTAATTCTGCCACCTGAAGAACAAAGCCAGAACCCCAACTTTGATACCCGCCCCAGAAGCTTCTGTGAGAATCTTAGTCACCCAAAGACAGTGTCTATCTTGGACCTGCTGTTCCCTGTTTTGTGGGGAATCTGGCTTTTTCTCAACTCCTCTCTCTCTCCTCTTGACAGCCATGCGCTAGTAGAGAAAACTAGGGGTTACTTCATAGCCTTTTGCTTTTCTTTTCCATTTTTCCTGTGCATATGTGACTATGTTAACATTTCACAGGGTCTGGAAAATATCAGACACTTGCCTGTTTTTTTTAAACATTGGAAATTATAGAGTTGAACCAGGTGGAGTGTGTGTGTGTGTGTGTGTGTTTGTGTGTGTGTATGAAAGAGAGAGAGAGAGAGAGAGAGAGATGGGGCTACGTGCTGGAGTTAGGCACACTCGGCAGGCCAGTGTAAACACTGTCTCCGCATGCCTGACTTGTCCCCTCTTTATCAAGATGCTGGGAGAATGGCCACTCTGAACCTCATTCTGCCTCTTTCTGCTTCTGAGTGCCTCAAATCCTCCTGCGCCATCCGCACATCCCCTTCTGTTTCCTCCGGTCCAGCACACCCTGCCCTCCAAATCATGAGCTTCATTTTAGAGTTGATTACTTGGAGCTCTCTGCTGCCCCTGTAGAATTCACTTCATTATAAGGTTCCCTGTTGCTCTAGATATTTGGAACGGACAGATAATGGAAGACATGCTTCAAAGGATGCTAAATAAGAAGCCTGGAAGCAAAAGGCCTCTCTCCACCTCACTCTCCCCAAAGTCTTCCTGTTTTCCCCAACCATTTGTCCTCATTCCTCTTCTTCTGCTCCTCTCATGTATTCCTCTATCAGCCAGTATCAAACATCCATGCCTGTTTGGTGAATTCTCACTGTTTTAGAATGGAGTGTGTGTGTGTGTGTGTGTGTGTGTGTGTGTGTGTGTGTGTGTGTGTATGTATGTGTGTGTGTGTGTGTGTGTGTGTGTGTAAGTTCTGTCTTCCCATAAAATTCATCTTTGGACACTGTTGAGTACCAGGGACATGATAATTTCCAGACCATGCTATCTCCACGGCAGAACTCATATGCCAGTGGAAGAGGCCACTGTTCCATGCTCCTAACAGCAGCCGGATGTTGGGTCAGATATGAGTGCAAGGTTTCTGTGACGTCTCCTGAGCTGCTTCTGCTGTGCCCAGGAGACCGTGCCAGCAGCTAGCCTCCTTCCGCGTGACTGGCAATGCCCTGCCCTTAGCCCAAGATGCTCTTGAAGGCTCCTTGCCCTCTCTGTTTCTGCAGATTTGTGAAATAGAAATTAAGACAAGAAGAGACACATTGCTACAAGGTTTTGCCAATGTTTATTTCTCTTCCACTATCATACACTTTTAGACTAATGTTTTAAATAAAGATGGGAAATGATCCAAGTTGAGCCTGGATGGGTGGGCAGTTTAAGTAAAAATAACCCTAGTTTCTATTCAGTGAGACATCTCATGGGCCAAATCCTGACCGGACTGAATTAACTTTCCAGGACAGTCTGGTAGCAGGGTGTGCCTCCCATCAATGGCAAGCAATCCCATCTCAGCAAATTGTTTACTTAAAAGAAGTAAACATAATTTTAAATCATCAGGATCTCATTTCGTATATTGCTTGGCATTTTGAAAGAGTGACTATGTCTCTATATTGCCCTGAACCAAGCCCATACAAAAATGTTGACTCAATCTTTCTGAAGCGCCAACCAACTCCCAACTGCAAATCCCCAGTTAGATTTCTCAGCTAAATAGCTTCTTCCCAGCCCGAACCCCCACTGCTTTCCCATTGCAGGATTGCTCATCACTGACTCAATCGATGTGTTTATTTCTTCCAGCATATTGAAAAGAGTGCATGCCTCTGCTCTGGGGACTGAAACTCCATTTAATTGTAGACTGACTGTCTTTTTAATAAAACAGGAAGAGAGGCTACCCAAATGTCTCTCACTGCTTAGGCAAAAATATGACTTGGCAGTTGTATAAAGGTCCCAGGTTTGGCACTTAGTTCTTAGACGTGATGTTCACTGGGTGTGATCACTTTTTTTTTTTTCCTTTTGAGAAATCATTTGCTTCTTGGCCCCAGGGCTCTGTGGCACTAGGGTGATAATAACTCACTGAGTATTCCAGTCAGTAAGGTTAATGCCCCATCCCCTAGGTGTTTAATTTACACTGGGAGTAGTTTATGCATGGGCAGGATCTGGTCCATTAATTCCTGCTTTACCAAATTAGAAAACAAATCCACCGAGAGAGTAAATGACTTCCCAGGTCAGAGGAGAGAAAGAGCTGACTCAGCATGCAGTATCCATGTGGGAGGCTGAGCTGGGTGGCTCAATGTCATCTTCTGTCTTTTGTGTCATTAGCTGAACAATAGGTTTGTTCTCGGGCCTTCAAACCTTGTCTAACACCCAGAGAAGACAGAAAATTCCCTATTTTCAAAGCCTCCTTCAACAAGACTTTTAGGCCCCCTCAGTGGTGTGGGTCAAGATGTCCTCCTACATCATATTCTAAAGAGGAAGAATTCTCCCTAACTCCATAAGATTGATTGAGACTATGGCTCAATGTCTGAACTTCTTTTAGCTCTGTGGTCTGACAAAGGGGAGCTAGTCCTTACCCAAAGGCTATGCCTGGGACTTGAATGGCTGTGTAATCAACCAGTTCTCTCTTCCATTTGACCTGACTCCCCATCTTTTATTACTGTGTTCCCTAAGTAAAGAACCAAGTATTCCATTAAGAATGGGTATATGGCTATGTTTGCTAAGGCATTGTTCTCTGCCTTCCCAGAACCTAACATTTCTGTGTGCATGTGGCTCAACAAGAAGAGACAGAGCAGACAAACTCTACTCAATAGCTTCTCTCCTCAAATCCACTCTGGAAAACACTGTCACTTTTACAGATAAAAGTTATCATTTTGCCTCTGTCCCAACCATGATGCATACAGGAAGATTTGACAGACAGCTACTTCATTTGTTTGTTTGTTTGTTTGTTTAGGTTTTTCAAGACAAGGTTTTTCTGTGCAGCCTTGGCTGTCCTGGAACTCAGTCTGGATACCAAGCTGGCCTCAAACTCGGAGAACTGCCTGCCTTTGCCTTCTGTGCAAGGAAGGCATGGGATCATTACTCGGCTTACAGCTACCTTAGTGATAGCTCCCTGAATAGTTGCAGGAAAATAGTGTATTTGAAGGAAGTAGAAAGACAGAGACAGATTGAAAGATAGCATATATATTGATTGTTTTATTCTTTCATTTTAGAAGCGAGGAACTCAAAGAGTCATTCATGATTCTTTCTTCAATATATCTATGTTCGAACCCAGCTGCATTTTAAAACCACAGCTCAGCATGTCTGAGACTTGGATCCCTCTCAGTGTTATTCTTATAATGCTAACAGTACTAGGACTGTTGTCTTCCATGCTGATGCAGCTTAAAATTCTAGTGTCAGTATCTTTCTACCCTGAAGTGGAGAGGGAGCGAATCCAATACCTCCATGCAAAGCTCCTGGAGAAAAGATCAAAGCAACCACTGGGAGAAGCTGAAAGCAAACTGAGCCTGTCCTTTAAAAAGGTAAGACCAAGGTGGTACTCTCCCTCTAATTAAGCTAATGCTGAGTTTGAAAGGCAAATGACACTGGTTTTCAAAACATCCTACAGTTTCACATCAGGAGACCATCTACCATGTGACTGAGGGAACCTATTGAGTCCAGTATTTTGTAGTTGGCTATTGGGAAGAGCTTTTGTACTGGCTGTTCTTTCTACATCAAAGTTAAGGTAAAAACATGGAAGGAAACAGCTAGCACTTAGTAACTTTAAAGAATTTGCTCATTCTCTGCTAAATTTATCATCTATGTTTTTATCATCTATCTATCATCTATCTATTACTTATCCATGTATGTATGTATGTATGTATGTATGTATGTATGTATGTATCTGTCTATCTGTCTATCTACCTACCTGCCTCCTGTACACAGCCCTCATTTTACTTGGTTTACTTACTAGTGAGAAGAGAGACTCTGCTGCCACCAATTCAAAGCAAGTTCGAAGCAGTCTCATAGTCGGGGCATCAGGGTAATAGCGTAAAGTTGCTTTTTAAGTGCCAAACTAGATCTTTCTCAAGGATGGATGGGCGAAACCACTTGTGTGTAGATGGAGAAATTCACTTTTGTGTCAAGCGCAAGAATCATTTGCGTTGCTGTTTTCAGGCACCTACAACATTCACAGCTGGAAAACAGTTATAGCCAATGAAAGACCAAGAAAGCCCACAAGGCTGTTTTCTGTGCTTTTCAAAGTTTGTAGCAGAGGCATTTAGAATGATTCCAGTTTCTGTTTACCACTTTTCAGATTCATTTCTGGCTTCCAGTCCTGAAAATGATTAGGAAGAAGCATATGAACACTGCAAACAAAGATGACCTGTGAGCAGCATGGAGGCCCCTCTTCCTGGTCACAGTTACTGTGTGTCCAACAGTAGGGGGCTATGTGAGAGGGCTACAGTGCTTGAGCTTGCAGAGCCTTCTTTCTCTCTGGTTATTCTTCAAGCCACTTGTCAATCATAATACCAATGGCTCCCAGGTAAATGGCTCTTCAGTCTGTCTTCCAAACAAAGCACAGTCACCATTAAAGGGTCAGTGATGGTTGACATGAAGATGTCCTTCAGAGACTCAGATGTTTGAAAACTTGGTCCCCAGTTGATGGTACTATTTGGTATGGGGGGGGGGGCTTAAGAAGTGTGGCCTTGCTGTACAAAGTGTGTCACTAAAGGGGGGATTTGCAGTTTTAAAAGGCATGCTCCAATTCCTGTTCACTCTACTCCGGCCTGTGGCTCAGGGATGTGAGCTCTCAGCTGTTTTGGCCTCCATGTCTGCCTGTCGGCACAGTTTCCGGCTGTAATGGTGGTAGACTGTTATCTCTCTGGAACCTCAATCCCAAATAAATCCTTCCTTCTATATGTTGCCTTGATCATGGGCTTTTATTATAGCAATAGAAAAGTAAGTAATTAGGAGGTTGCATCCAGATCCGTTCCTGAGGAGTCCCGGCAGAGAACACCATTCAGAGAAAAATAGAATAAAATAAAAACCAATCATGAAGTCTGCACTTCAGCCTCACCCACAGATGCTGAGAGCACAGGTACACAAAGTCAGCGATGCATTTATTAATCTCCTGGTCGCTTTCTGACTCTTAAGGTCTTCATACAATGTCTCTCAGAATGTCATTTCATGGTAGCCTCGCCTCCCCATGCCGCTCAGGAGGAAACGCTGAAGTCTCCGATGTTTTCTCCTTACCTCCTGTTCCCTCACACCCTCTAGCCCTGTCTCTTTTGTTGTCTCTTCCAGTAACTCCTCCACCCTAGAGGATAGGTGGCACATTGCCCCACACCCTAGGGCATGCTTAGAAAAATGCACATTTTGACCTGGTTCACCTTTCTCATCAAAAAATACTGAAGAGGGAGAAAAATTCCTTGAATAATGATCCTGTTGTCTATAAGTACCAGAATAGAGAGATCATTTTTTTAAATTTTTGAAAATTTGCAGGCTTATAAAAAGTTGAGGAAATAGTATGAAGTTGTACTTGCCCTTCACCATTATCTCCAAACATTAACGTCTTACATAAGTCTCAAAATCAGAAAAATGACTGAGAAGATAGAGACTCAGAATTCCATTTTTAGCAACCAAAGGACTCCTTTTGGACCCTCTATTCAAGCCAGGATCCCACATTGCCAGTGATGGTACTGTTTCTTTATTTGCTCCAGTGAAGGCAATTCCTCAGTATTTCCTTTGTCCGGGACCTTGACACCTTTGAAGAATCATGGCCAGCCACTTTATAAACTCTCCTTCCATTTCGATTTGCTGAGGTCTCCTCTTAGTTAAACGAAGGTGAGGGGCTTCAGTTGAGAAGACTACAAAGCGGGGCTGTGTTCTGCTTCCTGTGTTGCAGCAGGAGGCCCCCGTTGCTGATGAGCTACTGTTGATCGTAGGGCTAAGGTGGCATCTGGCGAATTCTTCCATCGTAATTATTGTTTTCCTTTATAATTACTAAGCATCTGTGGGGAGCTACTGGGAGCCTACACACGCATCCTGTTTAACACGAGTTTACTCCCTAATTTTAGCATCTGTGGATGCAAAAATTATCACCATGGTGACTAAATAGTGATTTTCTAGTTTAATAATTTCTTATAACTCAGTCTTACTTATAACGCTACCAAAAGGCGTAATCGTTCCCTCTGAGAAACTTTTTGGTGAAAGAGTGAAGTTTGTGTGAGGTGGGCCTTGTGCAGACAAGGAGACCACAAGCAGGTGGGGAAATAGTCCAGAGTACAGGCAAGCTGGGCAGTGGCTGTCTTCGCCACCCCAGAGGCTTCCGGATCAGAATGTCTGAACACGCCCATTCTTTTGCAGATATGTCTATCTCTTGTACCTGATTACTGCTAGGATGGGAGGGAGCTGTTTCAGCATTTCATGGAAAAGTGACGCTGATCTCTGCATGATCCAAGGGTTACTGAGATCCCAGGAGCTGCAGCTTCAGGGACCATCAGTCACACTTGCTGGCACTTTGGAGGGTGGAGACAAGGTCCCGTCAGGACTTCTCCCACACAGCCTGTAGCCTTAGCCTCAGGGCCCCAGTGCTGTGTGCAGGCTTTTCTGGCTATACCACTTTCTGCTCTGTGTAGGCACTTTCAGCACTGTTTCCCTGGTAGCCTTTCATCAGCTCCACAAAGCAGGTATGTTCTAGAAATGAGCCAAAAGGCGGGCCTTCTCTGTTCATTTTCTAGGCTGTTCACCACAAGCTGAGATGCCATATGTCAAAAGGCTGGCCTTCAGGGATAATAATGTTCTGCATGTTCAGGCAGCGTTTACCATCCAGAGCAGTGCTTGTCAACCTTCCGAATCTTGCGACCCTTTAATACAGTTCCTGATGTGTGGCGACCCCTCCCCCAACCATAAAATATGTCTTTGCTACTCCATAGCTGTGATTTTGCCACATTATGAATCATAATGTGGATGTCTGATATGCAGGATGTCTGATATGCAAGCCTAGATCTGTTTGGACCCACAGGTTGAGAACTGCTGGTCTAAAGGCTGCCTGCTTTGCATATTCATGGGAACACCTCCCACTTCCTACTGTCCACCCGTCAGGTAGAATCCTGTGGTCCACCCAGGGGCAGTGGCACACGCCTCTAATCCCAGCACTCAGGGAGGCAGAGGCAGGCAGATCTCTGTGAGTTTGAGGCCAGCCTGGTCTACAGAGTGAGTCCAGGACAGCCAAGGCTACACAGAGAAACCCTGTCTCAAAAAAACCAAACCAAACCAAACCAAACCAAAAAAAGAATATTGCAGTCCTAAAACAACAAGTCCTACAAGCCTGACCCATCTGCTGCCGGCCAGGCAACACCATGAGGCTGGCTCCCACTATGCCCCTCTCTCCTGGGAGTGCCCGAACTCTCTTCTCTTCTCATTGAGGCTCCCTCACTGCTCTGGTTGCTCCTGTGCTCTGAAGGACACGTGAATAAAGCTTTCTGTTAGTGCCTCCTGAACTCTTATCTTTCTCCCTCCTTGACCCCCAAAGCTTTTATAAAATAGCGTC